GTCAGCAAATCATAAGAGCCCTTTATGAGCTATAAACGTGTCGTTATTTTTATATATACAGTATATAATATATAGCCTACATATGCATGTATGTATGTATGTATATGTATATATATATATATGTGTGTGTGTGTGTGTGTGTGTGTGTACATATATGTATACTTATATATATATTTATTTTATTCTATTATTTGTTTTATTTATGTCAATGAAATCAATTAACATGGTAAGACAACATTTAGAGTTCTGTCGCTAAATTTTCTAATTGTAACATTTATTTATATCAATAATAACAATAACATATAAATGTAATATATTTATTTATTTGAGCACTAAAACATTCAGCAGCATTAAAAATCTTTTAAAAATGTCAAGAAAATTAATTGGTATTTATTATTTTCCAGGAATCCATTTTCTTGGAAGAAAAAGGCTGTGAATTTAATATCTAACAAAAGTTTAACACATACGTATATACAGTACAGTATGTATATTTTAGCTGCTGGTTAAATGTAAATTTTGCATGTGGTACTACAGCACCTATACTGTATTATATTATATTACATTATATTATATTAAAGTGCATTTTTATGCATTACGACAAATTTAGTCTCTGAGACGCGTCGCCGTTGCGCATTTGATTGATGCACACAAATATTCATAACGAAAAGCAAGAATATTTGAGAAGTTACAGAGTCTCTCCCCCCTCCTTCACACACACACACACACACACACACACACACACACACACACACCTAGACTACTCTGCTTCTCTCTCTCTGTCAGTGCGGTTCGAGCGTCTGAGCAGGAATGTGTCTGAATGAATCGACATTTGATGAGTGTTATTTCAGCACTTTGCATTTATCTGGGGAACTAATTAACATGTGATATAATTAATAAGCGCTGTGATGGAGCGCTGATGTGTCTGATATCAACAGTGTCACTCGTTCACCGACAGATGCAGGATCCGCACACTTTACCAGGTAACAACTTTTCATTTCTTCATCATACCCAACTGCTTTTTTGTGCTGTATCTACTCCTAAGCTCTTATGACAGTGTATGAAAGGGAATTTGTATGAAGTATTCCTGTGTACATTATATGTTAGAGCAGAGGAGGTTAACTGACTCGGATACTCTTTGATGCTCTCAGATTGATCAGAACCTGTTGTAATGTGTTTGGATTCTCTGCGATCAGCAGTGATGTTACTGGTGCCCAGCAGGATTCACAGGCTGATAAAGAATGTCCAGGAATTTTTAAATTCAGCATCAATATTTTAAGTTAAAAATGCATGCATAATGTATAAGGGAAAGTGCATAATTTAGGTGGTGCATGACTAATCACCCTGTTTTACCTTATTGCGTATTTTGCAGGTTACTTATATAGTCTTGTAGTTTGCCAAATACATTTATAAGTACAAATATTCAATAGTTTTATTACTTGCATGCATCTCATATAATCTTGTCATAAATTTCTTGCAGTCTACAATTCAACTGGCTGAAGAAAAAATCAGTTTCCTTTAGACTGTCAGAAGAGCTTAGTGCAAAAACATTTTTAGCAACTTTTAAAAGTGATTTTCCTTTCTTAATCTTAAGTAGCTATCTATTGGAAATTAATTTTTCACATCATTTATATGAATAATGGTTTATTTACACAACTGAGTTAAAGCTGCTGTGTGCCTGCTCAAAATTCAGCGTAAAAATGTAATGCAGAATAAAAGCCAGACTAAACTAAGCCTGCTCTGACCCAGCTCAGCTTCTACTATCAAAGTATATAGTTGTTAATTGCTGTGGAAAGGCATTTATGCCACCTCTGAGCAGCATTAAACAGTCTGCTTAAAGACACCTTAATGCAGATTCAGAAGTGTTTCTGTGCCAGCTTTGTAGTGTAAACTAAAGACTTTACACAGCTGAGTTAAGGCTGCTTTGTGCTTGCTCAAATTCAGTGTTAAGAGGTAATGCAGAATAAATGCCAGACTAAATTATGCGCTTCTGTGCCACTTTGCAGTGATTTTACAGTGTGCCACCTTTACTGAAATAAAGCTGCATTGTGCATACTCAATTTTGTGTAAAGATGCTGACTAAAAGCCAGACTAAATTATGCCTGCTCTGACCCACCCCAGTTCCAGTAGTAAAGTATGCACTTTTTCATACTTATGTATTTTTGTGTAAATGCATTTATGCCGCCTCTGAGCAGCATTAAACAGTCCGTGCCAAGACACCTAAATGCCACTTCAGAAGCGCTTCTGAGCCACTTTTGCAGTGTAATCTAAAGGCCTCTTTACACGGCTGAATTAAGGCTCAAAATCAGTGTTAAAGAAAGATGTAATGCCGCATAAAAGCCAGACTAAATTAAGTCTATATTAAAGTATGTGTGTTAATTGCAGTGCAAATGCATTTATGCCACCTCTGAGCAGCATTAAACAGTCCATGCACCTAAATGCCACTTCAGAAGCGCTTCTGTTCTACCTTTGCAGTGTAAATTGTACCCTTTTAGTAGACTAAGGCAGAAGCGCTTCTGAAGTGGCATGTAGGAGTTGCATGTAAAGTTTCATTCTTTTTGTCACCTGCATCACTTGATATCATCTGTGACGATCTGATGAACAGAGAATCACTATCATCCTGTAAACTTAACGAGCAGGATTAGCATGACAGATGCAGAGGAGATTCACGCTCAAGCAACTCAGCTAAACATGTTTCTGAGTGCCGGAAGCAACAGGTGAGACATTTCTCTTGTTCCCATGGTGATGAATAATTAAAAGAGAACGAGAGTGCAATAACACTCATTGACACAGGCGCCAAATTAACCTGCCCAATGGCACCCATGACACTAATCTAATACTTCCAAACCATCAGTCCACATATGCTGAGCATCCAGAGCTGCAGCTGTTTTAGCACATGCGATGAATCTCTGCAGTCTTCAGCTGCGCAGGTGAAGCTGAAATAACCGCTGCAGGGCCGAACACTAAACGGACGGCACACAGAGCCCTCGCTGTCACTCAATTCCTGCCATTAAACTCATTTAGGGAGCATCGACGGCTGTGTGCTCACTGTGGGAAGTAGATTTCACTCAAGCTGCAACTGAGAGACTTAAAGAACAGGAAAGGAAGCCCAGGAGACATGGATATGTATAGGCTTAGATCGATATGCGGCAGGTTAAAGTGCAGCGTTGTTTATCTGAAATCCAGCTGCAAACCCTGGGAGAAAACGCTGAGGCTAAGCTCATCTCAAACACTATTACACGCCAAAATAGGTTTAGCATTTGAGCACAAAAATATTTAGATTACATTGAGCAGAGGCTTTTTATCCAAAATGACTAACATTGCACTGAAGCTTCACATATATTTCACTTAATGCATTCCCTGGAAATCGAAACTATGATCTTGGTGATGCAGTATATATAAAATAGATATATTATTATGTCATATATATACACACACACTACTTATATATATATATATATATATATATATATACACTGTATATATATATTTATAATCTGGCCAAATGTGAGTCTCTTTAGAGTCATGATATTTATTTCACTTGATAAAAAAATATAACTTGTTAAGTGTAACCTTAACAGTTTCAGAACCGCAGCATGTGTTTGGAAAAGCATGCAAATTTGCTTATAACTAGAATTTCTTGGCCTACAGCCTTGGCTCTGCTTTTTGTAGACTCTTTCTGTCATTAAGAATAGAATGCAATCCATCTTTTCAAGGTCAGCCATGTTGCCTGTCCGTTATGTTGATGTAAAGTTACCGGTCAACACAGAGGCTGGACCATGCTTATGCATCAGCATATTAAAATGAAATGACGCTGGGATGACTGGCCTTGAGGCGCATCAGAGCTTGGTCACAGCAGCCAAAGTTAGAAATTAAGCTCACATCTGCTCATAACCCTTGAAAAAGTTGGCATGAAATTAAACTACTGCTCTTTTATCTCTTTGGATCTCTTTGGATAAGAATAAAGGGCCTTCACAGTTTAATGTAATGCATTTCACCATGTTTAAACTCAGCACAATCTTTACCGCAATTACGGCAGAAACGTGACATAAAGTGGTGTTAGTTATTGCAAATTGTTTGAACACTGGAATAAAAAAAAGTTTTCCATTACTGATATAAAAAGGGATTTGCAAGCCTAAAATGAATGAGTGTGTGTGTGTGTGTGTGAGTGTGTGTGTGTTTGTGAGTGTGTGTGTGTGTGTGAGAGAGAGTGTGTGTGTGTGTGTGTGAGAGTGTGTGTGTGTGTGAGAGAGAGTGAGTGAGTGAGTAAATGAATGAACGTTTAAATTAAAATTTAAATTAAAATTTCTGAGAAAAATAATGACCATCATACATTTTTACCATGCTTTACAGAAAACACCCACATAAAAATTCAAATAACACGTTTTTAATCATTTAAAATATAATCAAATTTAATAAGATCCCTTATTCTTTTATATACTTTAATAAGTTCAGGTCAGAATAAGTATGTTTTTTTTTTCATTTTTACACAAATATATCTGTTACGCTGAATGACAATGGAACATTATCTCACCCATATTTTGACATTTAATTTTCAAAAAGGTTATTTGAAACATTAAAGCAGACACTTTACTCGCATGTAATATGCTTTCTGTGTAAATAAAATCACTTTTGTCAATTTAATTTGATGCCAAAATTTAAAGTTTAGTCTTTGACCCCTAAACGCTCTTAAATGAACACACATTTACTTCAGATGCAAAATTACATCAGAAGTCTTGTTTTCTGAAAAATCAATCATAATGCATTGAGTTGATGCTTAAATTAAGAACAGATATCTGCCAATGGAGTCCAAAAAATAAATTTAATTCAAAGGGAATACTAGATTATTTTTCTGACCCCACAGGCAGATATTTTGTCTTGTTTTCAACATTTCAACAAGGCATTTTTTCAGAAAACAAGACTTTGGCACTTTGGATCCCCAGTAAATGTAAGATATTTGTGCTGAAAAAAAAGACAAAAGAACTGTAATTTCTGAGCAAATATCCCTCTGTTCTCAGTCTTCGATTTGGAAACTCTCTCAGCAATGGATCTGAACAACTTCTACAGCGAGAACATCAGTATTAACCACAGCACGCTCTTCAACGACAGCAGAAACCTCACATTCTTACCGTTCTACCAGCATTCCCTCGCCGTGGCCTCTGTCATTATCCTGGCTTACGTGCTCATCTTCTCGCTGTGCATGCTGGGAAACATCCTGGTGTGCTTCATCGTGCTGAAAAACAGGCAGATGAGAACCGTCACCAACATCTTCATACTCAACCTGGCCATCAGCGACCTGCTGGTGGGCATCTTATGCCTTCCCATCACGCTGGTGGACAATCTGATCACAGGTAAACCTGCTCGAGATGCATCAGGTTAATGTTCAGGTTTAATGCACCTGGAGAGAGTTTATCTGTTAGTATGTGCATGCATCTCCATGCTGCCATCTTCATGAGAACTCACACGGCCAATCAGCAGAGCTGAGGATGTCATGTGACACATCAGTCTGTATTACAAAACATGAGTCTGTTTCATGCTTTAAAAGCCTACTGGATAATATTAGATATGCACATTTCTAAGGCTCTACATGCTCTACATGATCAAAACTTTGCTGTTAAACCTATTGAACACTGAATTTTTGTGTAATTGTACAAGCGTCCAGCTTCAGCTGCTGCTTCTCGTGTCAAATCTTGACTGATTTTGATCAAGTAAAGGTCAGAATAACGTCAGTAATATCTCCAGATGAACACTTACTGCACTGAAGCAGCTCAGCTTTACTTGATTCTCCATCAATCATGTTTTAGAGTCTCAAATCTGATCCTCAGGATCTTTTGAGGAGCGTTTGTTTCCAGAAGCTTTACTTTCACTGTTCCTCAGCGGAGGAATGATCTTCACAAGCCTCCAGAACATCTCACATCTGAGGAGGAGCCTTTATTTCTTCAGCTCTCAATCACTGCATTATATGTTTGGAGCATTTCTACTACTGTGTATATTTATCATGTATAGTATATATAAATACACACACATAACATACAGTATATATATAAAAAATATTTACATGTATATATTTATATTCATATAATTTATATTTATAAAATATATTCACATATATAAATATATTTAATATATAAACATAACATTTTCCTGAAATATATACATGCATGTGTGTGTATTTATATATACATAATAAATATACACAATAAACACACATGTATTATGTAAACAAAAACTTTACATTACTTCATTAGTCAAACATCATTTGATAAATCAAAAACAAATCATATTTATTTTGATGCATCTGCATTTTGTAGAGGAAATGCATTTCAGGATGAACTAGTTTTTTCTAGTTTTCTCCTCAAACTCAGCTGGTTAGTGGGTCTTTGTTGTGGTTCTCAGTACATTTTAGTCGTTTATCGGCAAATGCGAGCACTGAAGAAAAGCCTAGCGTTAGAGGCAGCAGCATTCGTGCGGCTGTTGCATAACGGACACACTACCTTTGTGTTTCCATGCATTCATTACTGTCAAAGTGAAGTAGAAAACACCAGAAGAAACGTTATGTACTGGAGGGCTTTTAAAGTGGTTCATGGCACACTGCAGGTCGTGCAGGAGTCAACAGAGTCTCTGCAGCCTTCAGCAAATGTAAACATGATTCGTATCGCCAAGTGTTTGTTTGCTTGATGTCAGCATTACACACTGTTGACTCAGATTCATCATTAGCATACAGACCATGTGTTGTGTAAAGCAGCCATGTGCAGCTGACTTGTTGGATGTTAAATACGGCTGTAACACCCAGCTGGCCACAGATCATTAAAACCTCATTAATTTACATCAATCTGTTGAACGTGTAATGATATTTGTAATTGTTTTGACACAGCCTCCTGCTTCTTCAAGTGTCACACAAAGTGTGTTTTTTCCGCACGCTGCATGAATGTATGTCAACATTGTTGGGCACAAAAGAAAACAAACATGTACATTCATGTCAAATATTTAATATACATATTCACAGATTTTGCATACAAAGAGTGTAATCAGAATAGAGGATGATTGTTTTTTGGTGTTGCAGGATCTTAAATGAGGAAAATTCTGTGTAAATATTGTTGTTTTTATAACAGTCATTAATGTTGGATAAAATGTCCAGCAGTTCTGTATCAGATATTTATACTGTCATGATTATAAGATAAAAAAATGTGGATTTTTTTATCATAATTATTATTACTTGTCATAGGTTTGACTTTATAATCTTATAATTAAAACATTTTGCATTAATTTTTGACTTTTCATTCTCGTAATTTTTACTTTTAAATTTAATAATTGCAGTATTTTGTGTTGATTTTTTTGGGGATAATTTCAACAAGTTTTCATTTCTACTTTTTATCTCATAATTATGAATTAGTATATCATAATTTCAAGTTTGTTCTCTGTTTGTCTCTGTCTCTCTCCCTCTGTCTCTGTCTCTGTCTCTCTCTCTCTCTCTCTCTCTGTCTCTCTCTCCCTCTCTCTCTCTCTCTCTGTCTCTGTCTCTGTCTCTCTCTCAGGCTGGCCGTTTGATGTGCTCATCTGTAAAATGAGTGGACTCGTGCAGGGAGCTTCAGTCTCGGCGTCTGTCTTCACGCTGGTGGCCATCGCAGTGGAAAGGTTAATAACTCTCCCCCTCCTGCACTTCACATGAAGACAAACACCTGACATCTGCAAACCCAGCTCTGCTCAATCACGCTGTGACTTCAGTTAATAACTGAGCCCAAAAAATGATCATTCTGTCAACATTTACTCACCCGTAGTTCCTTCCAAACCCTCATGACTCTCTCAACAAACACTCAGCTCGCATATGAACTAATTAAGCTTCTGGTTGCTGACAGACGTGTTCACAATGTGCTGGTTTTGTTCGGAAAATCTTAAAATTAATCATTATGAATTGGTATGTCATAACTGAGACTTTTTGTCATAATACTGACTTTTCAGTTTCAGTTTTTAAATTTACCATTTCTCATAATTATGACTTGTTGTCATTTGATTTTTTCAAGAATTTCAATTTTTTTGGCATAATTTAGATTTTTCAATACCAGAATTTTCACCTTTTATTAATAATTGTGGCATTGCTACAGCTTTTTTAGACTTTGTATATCATAATGTTGACCTAGTATGTTGTAATTTTCACTTTTTCCTCATAATTATGACTTTTTGTTATATTTTTGGCCTTTTAATCTAATAATTTTTATTTTTGCCATAATTTGGACTTTTCAGATATTTAACTTTGACTTTGTATTTAAAGATTGTGATGTTATGTTGACTTTTAAAGATAATTTCAGCCTTTTATGACTTATAATTTCCACATTTGTTTCATAATTCCAATTTTTTAATCTGACTTTTTAAACACAATTTCGACTTTTTATTTAATGGTAAAACATTAACATTTTCAAAATGTTCTATTTTTAATGTCATCGTTTAGATTTTTTTTCATCTCATAATTATGGTTTACCAATGCATGACTTTTTATTATTTAGTTTTTTTTGACTGGGCAAAAACATTCAGTTCTCACTGACTTCAGAAGAAAATGAACAGCTGCTATAACGCTTCTGTCTGGTCGCTGACAGACGTGGTTACAATGTGCTTGTATTGTTTGGAAAAGAACAACAGATGAACATGAAAAATCCCTTTGTGTTCAACAAAAGAAAGCAAGTCGAAACAGATCTTAAAAGCACCATTAAGTAGAAGATGATAGCGGGTGTCAATGAGAGCGCCGTTCTTCCTTCTGAGAAACATGACACACACACACACACACTCACACACACACACACACACACACACACACACAGAAAGCATCTGACAGACACTTCACACGTTATGTCACATTGGTTTGTATTTAACAAAGCAGTCATTTATAGGGACTGGAGCTGCGTCTCGTCCTCAGACGGCACACATCTGAACATGTTGCACACAAAAGCAGAAATTGGCAGGTTTGAAACAGACCGCTGGCTCTCCTCGACCCGCATGAGTCAGTGTGCACTCAGCTTTTGTAATCAATCAGCTTGATTCTTAGGAGCTACAGTAGGTTGCAATAATTCAGCGCTTTTGAGGAAGACGTCAAATCTCTGAGGTGCTTTAAAAGGGTCCTATTATGCTTCTTCGACACAAAATTGTCACTACATCAAAAATACATTTTATATATGTTCATTAAGATTTGTTCGTAAAATAATATTAATGCATAATATAATATTAAAATATAAATAACTATTTTTAAACACATTGAATTATTGAAAACTTACACTTTTTTTGAACGGTAACAATTTGTTTGTTTTTTTAATAATATTAATGCATAATATAATATTAAAATATAAATAACTATTTTTAAATGCATTGAATTATTGAAAAGTTACACTTTTTTTGAACGATATCAATTTGTTTGTTTTTTAAATTACCCAGTAAACATGTAAAACTACACATTCTGAACAATTATATTTTTACGCAGTGTATTAGAAGTTAGTTTTAACGCATTGTATTTTGTGTTTTCGGGTTACAACAGATAATGTCCTGGAGAATGACTAGTACCTCTTCCATTTTTAGATAGGTTGCAGTGTACTAACTGATCAACAATCGCAGGTACAAGCAAAAATAATGCACAATTATACAATATTATTATTATTATTATTAAATAATAATTATTATTGGTTTCCTCTTTTTGTATAATTTAAATGGTAAATGCATGCCTTTTTTATCGTTTGAGTCACTTACCAAAAGTTGCTAAAAGTTGCCAAATACATTTTTAAAATAGCTCAATTTGTTGTAGGTGCTTCTGGAAGAAAAATTTGTTAAATTTAATAACAAAATAAAAAAATTGCTAAACTGGCAACACTGTTTGTTTAATTCCCAATCATGGAATGTGCAAAAAAATGGGGCGACTATATTTGCATATTTGACCCTATGGTTTGTTGTTATATACTTATAGAAAATTTAGACATGGAATTCTGAAGTTCTGGCCATGTTCGATTTATGTAATAATTTCAACTTTCTATTCTCATAAATGTGACATTTTATTTAATAATTATGACATATGTCATTTTTGAATTTTTATCAACAATCATAATATCAACTGTATTCATTAATTTTGAATTTTTCTCCGTTATGACTGTCATAATTTAGATTTTTGTTAATCTCATAATTTATTTTTTTGGCATAATTTAGATTTTTTTATATATCATAATCAAATTTTTTGTAATAATTTAGATTTTTTTCATTTCCTAAAATATTAATATTTTGTCATACTTTTTACTTTTTAATCTCATAATTTTGATTTATTTCAGAATTGTATTAATTTTTTATTTTTTATTTTATTTTTCAAAATTATGACATTTTGTCATAATTAATTTTTTTAATCTCTGAATTTTGACAGTATATATACATTTAGATTTTCCCCTCATAATTATGACTTTTCTATCATAATTTAGATCTTTTTAAAGTTATAATTCAGTTTTTGTCATAATTTAGAATTTTTTTAATCTCATCATTTTGAAATCTCATAAATTTGACTATTTTATAACTATGACTGTATGATTTTGAGTCATTTTTTAAACTTTTTGTGTCATCATTTTTAATTTTGTGGCCATAGTTTTGACTTCTAAATCTCATAATTTCAATTTATTTATTTCAGAATGTTCATTTTTTTAATCTCATAATTTTTATTTCATTTTTCTAAATTATGACAAATTATGTAACAAAAAATGTAATCTCATAATTTTGATTTAGTATGTCTTCAGTTTCCCTCAATTTCCCTCATAGTTATGACTTTTTGTTATAATTTAGATCTTTTTAAATTTATAATTCAGTTTTTTGTCATAATTAGATTTTATTAATCGCATCACTTTGACTTTTAAAGTCTCATAAATTTGTCTATTTTATAACTATAACTGTATGATTTTGAGTCATATTTTCTATCTTTTATGTCATCATTTCAATTTTGCAGTCATAATTTTGATTTCTTAATCTCAGAAAATTTAAATAAAATGTTCTGTTTTTTTGTCAGAATTTAGATTTTTTTAATCTCATCACTTTGACTTTTAAAATCTCATGTATTTGACTATTTTATATTTTATGAATATATGATTTCGAGTCATAATTTTGACTATTTATGTCATCATTTCAATTTTGTGGTTATAATTTTAAAGGGATAGTTCACCCAAAAATTCTGTCATTAATTACTCACCCTCATGTCGTTCTCTGGCCCTCCATAGACAGCAAGGATCCTACCATGATCAAGGCACTAAGGACATTGTTAAAATAGTCCATGTGACATCAGGGGTTCAACTGTAATTTTACGAAGCTACGAGAATACTTTTTCCCTTGCTGTCTATGGAGGGTCAGAGAGCTCTCGGATTTAATAAAAAATATCTTAATTTGTGTTCTGAAGATGAACAAAGGTCTTACGGGTTTGGAACGACACGAGGGTGAGTAATTAAAGGGACAATATGTAAGATTTTTTTATTAAAATATCCAAAAACCACTAGAACAGTGTTATATATTTTGCTGACTTGTGTACTTACATTATCCCAAATGTTTCGAAAAATTTTTAAATCCAGACAAATAAGCAATTTTAACTAGTGACACGGAGCGTGTCATTGCGTCGCCTGCTAATGACATCATAACCCCTCGATTTCCGGTTTTGTAGAAAACATGGAAACAGCAAAGATGCTTTAATATGTTGTGTTTTATAGACCGGTGACGAGCGCACAGAGTAGCATTATAACAGAACTAAATGTATCTAGTATGATAAGAGCTCCGCTGCTTTACCCCACATACACACGACCGGAAGCAGCAGAAGCCCTCGACTGTGGCATAATAAAAGCCCTGCTGCTTTACCCCACACACGCACGACCGGAAGCAGCGGAAGCCCTCGACTGTGGCATAATAAAAGCTCCGCTGCTTTACCCCACATACGCATGACCGGAAGCAGCGGAAGCGCTCGACTGTGGCATAATAAAAGCTCCGCTGCTTTCCAGCCGTGTGTCGCACTCGTTCAGCGTCTCGTTTCGCTTCGACGGCTTTCAGCCTCACCCTGCTTCATTCTACTATGTTAATAAATCATTAGCTCATCCATGAACATGAGTTCTGCCCGAGTCCCGTCAGATTGCATTGGATTGCATTGTCACAGCGTCATCAAACTACGCCTTTGTTTCTTTGTTTGTTTTGAATGCGTGCCCTCTAGCGGCAAAAATTACATATTGTGCCTTTAATGACAGCCTTTTCCTCTTTGTTTATTTCGAATGCGTGCCCTCTAGCGGCGAAAATTACATATTGTGCCTTTAATGACATAATTTTCATTTTTGGGTGAACTATCCCTTTTACTTCCTAAACTCGTAATTATGTAACTCCGGTTTACCAAAGCATGATTTAGTTTCTCCCGTACAGTCTGCTCCAGATGGCTCAGATCTGATCTCCTGCATTCCAGGTTTCGCTGCATCGTCTATCCGTTCCAGCAGAAGCTGACGCGGCGTCAGGCCATCATCACCATCGCCTTCATCTGGGCGCTGGCCGTGGGCATCATGTGTCCGTCCGCCATCACGTTGACCGTCTCGCAGGACGTGTTGCACTTCACCGTGGATGGGGACAATGAGACGCACCCGCTCTACACCTGCTGGGAAGCCTGGCCCGACCAGAGCATGAGGAAGATCTACACCACCGTGCTTTTCTCGCACATCTACCTGGCTCCGGTCACGCTCATCTTCATCATGTACTCGCGCATCGCGGTCAGGCTGGTCAAGCCGCCCGTCTTCCGCCGCAAGCTGCGCGTGGTGAACATGCTCCTGATGGTGGCGCTGCTCTTCGCCGTGTCCTGGCTTCCGCTCTGGATCCTCATGATGCTGACGGATTACGGAAATCTTTCGGCCGCTCAGCTGGACCTGGTGGCCGTCTATGTCTTCCCATTCGCTCACTGGCTGGCCTTCTTCAACAGCAGCGTCAATCCTATCGTTTATGGCTACTTCAACGAGAACTTCCGGCGCGGATTCCAGGCGGCGTTTAAGCTAGGTTTGTGTGTGGTGGACGAGCCACCGCAGCCCAGACGCAACGCAGCGTGGAAACACAACCGCGTGTTTGTGGACCGAGATGAGACGAACGCAAAGAGCGATGACAGGAGAGAGTGGAGAGACGGAGAGCAGAGAGACGAGCTGGTGCTGGAGGATCTGGACTGAGACGCTTACACACACTGGGGAAGTCGTGGCCTAATGGTTAGAGAGTCGGACTCCTAACCCAAAAGTTGCGGGTTCGAGTCTCGTACCGGCAGGGATTGTAGGTGGGGGGAGTGAATGTACAGCGCTCTCTCCCACCTTCAATACCACGACTGAGGTGCCCTTGAGCAAGGCACCGAACCCCCAACTGCTCCCCGGGTGTCTGCCCACTGCTCCGGGTGTGTGTTCACGGTGTGTGTGTGTACTTAGGATGGTTTAAATTCATACTTGGCCACATATCACGTCACATTTCACACATGCATACGCATACACAAACACACACTCATCAAATCTGGAATCTGAGGGTGCAAAAAAATGAAACTATTGAGAAAATCATCTTTAAAGTTGTCCAAATGAAGTTCTTAGCAATACATATTAGTAATCAAAAATTAAGTTTTGTTATATTTACGGTAAGAAATTTATAAAATATCTATAATTTTGACCCATACAATGTATTACTGATTACTGCTACAGATATACCCATGATATTTATGACTGGTTTAGTGCTCCAGGGTCACATTTTAGAAAAATATATTACTACTACTAATAATAATAATAACAACTGTTGTTGTTGTTGTTGTTGTTGTTATTATTAGTATTTCATAATTATTATTGTAGTATTTCATAAAATTTAAATATAACAATAATAATGAAATATTACAATAGTGATATCCTAATAATAACAACTGTTGTTGTTGTTGTTGTTGTTGTTATTATTATTAGGATATCACTATTGTAATATTTCATTATTATTGTTATATTTAAATTTTATGAAATACTACAATACTATTATTGTAATATTTCACTGTAAAATAAAAATACAATAATGATAATAATAATAATTTAATTTTACAGTGCTAATATTTCTGTCTGTCTTAAGATCTTAATTTTCAAACGTTAAACATTAAATTACAACCTTGATAATCACTCTAAGCCATACACTCTTAAAAATAAAGGTGCTTCAAAAGTTTCTTCAAGCGATGCCATAGAAGAACCATTTTTGGTTCCACAAAGAAGCATTCAGTCAAAGGTTCTTTAAAGAACCATCTCTTTCTTACCTTTTTATAATCTGAAGAACCTTCTTTCGCCACAAAGAAGCTTTTGTGAAACAGAAAGGTTCTTCAGATGTTAAAGGTTCTTTATGGAACCATTCAGACAAAAAGGTTCTACTATGGCATCTTGAAGCACCTTTATTTTTAAGAGTGTACTGTGATTTCTTTTCAATTATGCTAATCGTGCAGCCCTAACTGAGGCTAACACTCACAGCTCTCTTCTGCTCAACACGAGGGTTACAAAAGAATAATTCTTCATTTTTGAGGGACTGTTCCTCTAATAGAACGATGCATGCAAGCATGCTGCAGAAATGTACAGCACACGCACATTAAACACACTCATTATGTTCAAGAAAAACAGTCAATGTGTTAAATGGTTCATGGACTGATATTTGGAAGTAAGTGTTCTTCTGCTGATCTGGTGTTGTTTGCTGTGTAGATGTATGTAAAGCTATTTGCTCTGTAAAACAAACAGCAATTACCATTCATGCTGTGATGTGTCCGTTTGCTTTCAGAAAAACACTGACAGCTAATTAGAGAAATCCACATGCCTGTGAAAATGTCTTTTTATAAGCTGTGCTTCTTGAAAAAGCTGACAGTTCACAAAACGACAAATATGAATATTTAAAGCAAAACTCTGGACTAATCAACTTTAATCAATCTTTCAAACTCAAATAAAACAAAGTTAGAGGTATATAATTGGTTTGCACTAAACCCCCGTCTCTCCCACCTGCTGCTGTGGGTGAGTGTGTGTTTGGATCACACACTGCCATTTACACACACTGATGTGCTAACCACGCGTCCACCTGCCCTCAGGATACAGCACTGCGGCAGAGACACAGAAAACAAGCATAGCATGCGAAGGTCAGAGTGTTGAGCTCTGCTGTGTTTTATACAGAATGAATCAAACTCTCAGCAGCTGTGAGAGGAAGAACTGTTTTTGCTTTTAGATGCCTACAGAAGATGAGACGCTCTGCTGCTGCAGATGAAGTCAACTAAAGGAGTGAGCTTAATCGCTAGTGTGCACACTTTAAAAATATGCTTAACAGCCTGTGTCATGATTTACGGATAGACAGACTGATAAAGAGACAGACAAACAGATGTTCAGGCAGATAGATCGTCACATCTTCATGACCAAATCAAAACAGTCGATCAAATATTAAACTCACAATTTCCACTCACAGTCTCACAATGAAGCGAACATAGGCTGATTTTAAATCATTTTTTCTACTTGAGTGGATGCAAACATCTTGTAAACCCTGTTTTAATTATCATAAAATTTGATGGGTTTATATATGTCCAGTATCACTTTACACCTCGTTATTTGTTTAATTAACTTTAAGCTGACAATGCTCATGTAACTGTAAGGAAATTAACATTTACATGAAAACCCATGCATATTCGTTTTATAATTGTTGAAGGGATGGCATCATCTTAACTATATAATTATGCATAGGTATATTTAATCATCTTCTCTTATTACACTGACAGCACAGTGACACACACACGCGCACGCACGCACACACACACACACACACACAGAGACAAGCTGTTGAGCATCTGCTGGTGGCAGTAAGTAACAGGTGGAAGTAACTACTGTAGCTACGTGACCAATCAAAGAAAATCTGCTTTCTGTTGAAACCATAAGTGTTTTCCGTAATGAATTCTGTCTTTGGTTCAAACATCACAATAAATCCTCCTGCTCTCACTGTCAGACGTCAGAAAGTGATGAAAATCTCTTTAATCTCAGAGTATTTTAGATCCTTTGTGAAGCTCTTTTATCTCGTCTCACAGAAAACGCAGAGGGGAAATACATATCTCCATTTCATGGCATTCCCATCTACGCAGACGAGGCCGGGGGAAGGAATATCTGAATCCTGATTCACGCATTCATTCCTCAGATCTCTGAACTGGGTTTTAATGAGGAACAGAAGTTGTTCCCTTCACCTCTGTGAAACACTCAGACTGATTTCACACATCTATGATCACGTGAAATCTTGTAAACAACTCAGAAGTCAATTCAAGCAGTCTACATACAATAAACGAGAGCCAAAGACAGCTCAAAATTTGGTTTTGCATTGGAAAATGAAGTCAACGATGAATTGAAAAGTGCATCTGTTAACTAAACGCATTACTGTTTGATACATAGAGAATTACAAAAAATATATATTTATTTTACATTTATTTTTAAATATAATATAACCTATTCAAATTGTGATGTCAATATTTTATTTTTAATCATTATTCTAAATAATGTGTTGATTTTTTGTGGTTAAAAAAAAACTTAATTATTTTGACAACATAGTTAGTAATATATAATTTATACTTAACAAGGAATAAACAGGCTTAATTAGTTAAATGTACTGAAATTATTTAATTATTTAGATTTTGTCAAAACTGTTGGATTAATGAAGTGTGTTACGTCTCTGATAATATTGAATTGCTGCAGTAAATAAAAGGACCAAAACATTTTAAACCTGGACCCTCGTCAGTGTCAGCTGGCACATTAATGATAAAACAAACAAACAACAATAAACTGCTCATGAACATAAAGGACATCTCAAATGATAATAAATGTGCACATTCCAGCTGACAATGCTCATGTAACTGTAAGGAAATTAACATTTACATGAAAACCCATGCATATTCGTTTTATAATTGTTGAAGGGATGGCATCATCTTAACTATATAATTATGCATAGGTATATTTAATCATCTTCTCTTATTACACTGACAGCACAGTGACACACACACACACGCACGCACACACACACACAGACAAGCTGTTGAGCATCTGCTGGTGGCAGTAAGTAACAGGTGGAAGTAACTACTGTAGCTACGTGACCAATCAAAGAAAATCTGCTTTCTGTTGAAACCATCAGTGTTTTCCGTAATGAATTCTGTCTTTGGTTCAAACATCACAATAAATCCTCCTGCTCTCACTGTCAGACGTCAGAAAGTGATGAAAATCTCTTTAATCTCAGAGTATTTTAGATCCTTTGTGAAGCTCTTTTATCTCGTCTCACAGAAAACGCAGAGGGGAAATACATATCTCCATTTCATGGCATTCCCATCTACGCAGACGAGGCCGTGGGAAGGAATATCTGAATCCTGATTCACGCATTCATTCCTCAGATCTCTGAACTGGGTTTTAATGAGGAACAGAAGTTGTTCCCTTCACCTCTGTGAAACACTCAGACTGATTCCACACATCTATGATCACGTGAAATCTTGTAAACAACTCAGAAATTCAAGCAGTCTACATACAGTAAACGAGAGCCAAAGACAGCTCAAAATTTGGTTTTGCATTGGAAAATGAAGTCAACGATGAAATGAAAAGTGCATCTGTGTGTGTGTGTGTGTGTGTGTGTGAGTGTGTGTGTGTGTATATTTGTATTGTGTGTGTTTCTCTCCCTGAGGTATATGTGTGAATTAAATCTAATTAGATGCATTCTCTCACGATAATCGTCCTGGAGTTCATAATGACATTAATATGTCAGATGAATTATGGGAATAGATTCCTCTATTCAAGATCACGGGGGGTTTGATCAATATAAACACAACACAGAGCAGAATTATCATGCAGGACCATGAACTCAGACACTGCAGACAGAAAGAAAAACAGAGGAAGGTGTGTGACCTCCTTCATCCAACAAAACTATGTAGAAACGTAATTATAGAAAAATATTTTGCAAATCATTAGTACATTTTATACACACCATATAAAATTGTTTTGTCTATGCTAATGTATATGAAGCAGCTTCAGCAGCCAGTGATGAATATACTTACCGCATAAAGTCTCTCAAGCACATCTGCAAAACAGTAACAACAGTTTCAAGTCGTGCATGAAAATAATCATTTAAAACACATATGCATTCATGCAAAGATAATGCCAGATCATATTATACACTTTAAAACACTTTACTTAAAAAAACAAAGCCTATTTCATTTTACAATAATGCTAAAAATCTGAATTAGATATTTTTTCATCCCCAAATTAAATATATCAAGTGCAAAGTAGTTATGTATCATGATATAGTGTTCACGGTCTTTACAGTTTTTTTCAGCTGCTTTCACACATTTTCAAAACTTTGGAGCAGATTCGTGAATCTGTTGATTCAGATCGGAACTTTGAAGCGGGTTCACGAATAATTTCACGGATTGAGTGATTCATGATCCGCGCTCCGAAGTCCCGATGTTTGTGAATCATCATTCATATATATATTTTGATTCAGATCTGAACTTTGGAGTGGTTTGGTGAATCTTTTGATTCAGATCAGGACTTCGGAGCAAGTTGGCCGCGCAAGACTCGTAGGATTTTTATTTAATTTACATTTTTTTATTAAACAGTGTGGTGGCTTCTGTGAGAAACCACTCTCGGAGTCTTGAGGGTTTGATGCCAGAAGACAGACTTTATTATCAGAGACAATAATGAAGCCGACAGACTCTGGGTCTGCACACTCTTAATATAGGTTTCTATAAACAATACATATCATTCAGGCCACTATGGCTAGTCTATATCTCCTCATGTCAGCAGAATAGTACTACAAAGAGGTCTCGGTTCATCCCATGTCAGCACAAGATCATCTCATGTTTTCTCTTAATAGTAGCTCATATTTGAACTCATACAGCCAAACACATGACTATAATAACTCAGTTACACACACTCCACTCTCCTGCAGGCCTCCATACACACAGGCAAACACATGATCATAATAGTAAAATAACATGATACCCAAATGGCTATATTCACATTAATTATACTTGATTAATTCACATCTAAATCTTCTACAACAGCAGCTACAAAACATCAAAATATATAGGCTACACCTTTGTATATCTGGTCATTAGTTGCTCTAACATGCCATTTCTAGATGGATCGAAGGATTTCATAGAATTTGCTTCATCCTCTGATTGTTAAGCGCAGTTGTGACCATCTGACCAAATCTGTTTTCTCCTTCAGAACATCTTCCATGCTGTCGTTATAAATAAATAGTCTAGAAACCTGTATTTTATGTATATAATGTCATATTTTTCTCTGCAAAACCATGCAAAAATAAATAAAAGTTACGGAAATTAGACAAAATTAGAAATATTTCTATAGTGAATATACATTTTCCATTTTTATTGGTCTGCTCATTTATTATTATTATTATTATTATTATTATTATTATAGGTGTATTTACATATACAGTATAAAGACTATAAGTATATATACAGTATATAGTAATATTTTCTCTTCAAACTAATGCTATATATATATACACACACATTTTTATAAGTCCATTTTTATAGGTATATTTTATAACTACTTTTATATTACATATGATAATATACAACATAAATTTTTTTATTAATTTTATATTATATATATAATGATTATTATTATAGTATATACGTCATAAAATTATGTGTGTGTATATATATATATATATATATATATTTGTCTAATTATATTTCATTATTTATTTCATATTTATATTATATATAATAATAATTATTGTATATAATATAATATTAAATTGATCGTTTGTAGAGTAAAAGGTGCAGTCAAATCCTGAATTGTGAGCAAATGATTCTTTTGAATCGGTTGTTTTTGATGATTCGGCTTCACACTTTGATCTGAACGATTAATTTGAATCATTCTGAATCAGAATGATTTGAAACATCTTTCTTTAGCAATCATGCTTGCCTTTAGAGCTCCAGGAGTTTCTGTAAGCGTGTTCTTCACGTGTTTGCATCAGGTCTGATGGATCTCAGGATCCGTGTGAAGGTGTTGGGGACTCTGGCTCTGATCGACGAAGGAGAAACCGACTGGAAAGTGATCGTGATAAACGTGGAGGACCCCGAGGCTGAAGACTTCAACGGTCTGAGAGCTTTAGCTTCAGCGTTTGTGATGAGCACGAGGGTCAATCTCAGCGTCTTCTGTCTCTCGCAGATATCGAGGACGTCCGCAGACTGAAGCCCGGATTCCTGCAGGCCACACTCGACTGCTTCTGGATGTATAAAGTGCCAGACGGGAAGCCAGAAAACCAATTTGCCTTCAATGCTGAATTTAAGAACCGGGTAAATAGAGCCGCCGCTTAAATGAAAGACAGGAGACGAGATTTGAGTAATGACTTCTGCCTGACGGCTAGTAATGAAGATGTTTTTCCCATCATGTCTCGAAGGCAAGAGGATCCAAGCATGTCATTTTCAAAATTGCTTTTTCAAGAGATGATCGTGTCACTGATTAAATCACTAGACATTCTCACAGATCTGAGATCAGCGGTGCGTCTCGCTCCTCCAAACTTTTCAAAAACTACAAGCTGCTAAACCTTCAGAAGCTCGTCTCTCATTTCGGTGGAAAACATCAGGAAACACGTCACTAAAAACATGCTTTACAGCTGTTTGTTGAGTCAAACGTCACTCATAACACCTGGGGCACGTTCAAGCTCAAACCGGTGTGCACCGTTTTGCTACGGCTTCCGGGTTGAACGACATGTTTCCTGGAAACGGTGTGCAACGGTGTGTAACGGGTTTGAGACGCGTTTTCTCTTGTTTGGTGGGATGTAAACCACGTGGTATTAAAGAGACAGCTGCACAATGTAATTAACATCAAAATAAATTCACAAGAGCAAGTATATTGTTTGCACATGTTTATCTACATTGAAGGCAAAATAACTGAAATAATAAGAGCACAAGTATAGATCTGGAACTTCTTTAAGTCTGTCTAAATATCATTTAGTAATTGCAATGTCTTCTGGTCCATATCCTTTCCTTAGGAAGGTGTGCTAAATACTGATTAATGCAACATAAAAATACTGTACATATTTATATATTTTGCTATTGTATTGTGGAGTGACACTTTAATAAACTTTTCTATACCCCTCTGATTATATAATGGTAAATATTACAATATCATAGCACAACAACAGCGATCAGCAATAATGATAAGCCTAATACTCACAATAAAAATAATAAGGTCGTATAGATCATAACACAGTCTCGGAGGTAAGAAGTGGATTATCCTTCACCTGAAATGTTTGTCTTTTCATCCTGAAATGCGAGGCACATGTTGGATCACAATAATTAGGAACCACAGTTTCCACAAACCCCTTCACTGGATTGGGATGTTCTCCTTTATTCTGGAGGGCGAGGCCAGTGACTGTAACATCGAGTGTATTTTGCGGTATTAAACACGTGTTTATACCGATTTCATCAGGCTCCGAAAATTCTTCAAAAACAACACACGGAATGGCCTTCTCAGCTGCCGTAGCTGCAGCTCTTGCGTCATCAGAACAGTGTTCAACGCACCACCGTTTCCGTTTAAAACACGTTTGCACCGTTTTGTCGGGCTGAACGCAGCCCTGGTTCATATCGTCAACCACTGAGAACACAACATTCTGTTTTGTTTTTTTAAATGTAACAATAGTTTGATTCTATTGTTTTAAAATATTGCCGCAAATGTATCTTTCTTATTTTTACATGTTTAAAAACACAATACATTTACATTTGAGTAAATATACATAAAGCTGCTTCAGGATGTCATAGAAGAACCTTTTTGTCTAAATGGTTCCATAAAGAACATCTGAAGAACCTTTCTGTCTCACAACAGCTTCTTTGTGGCGAAAGAAGTTCTTCAGATTAAAGCTAAGAGATGGTTCTTTAAAGAACCTTTGACTGAATGGTTCTCTGTGGAACCAAAAATGGTTCTTCTATGGCATCGCTGTGAAAAACCTTTTAAGCATCTTTATTTTTAAGACTGTATATCTTTTTAAGGTATATGTTTATTAGGAAAACATACCATGTCTTTTTTTTAATTTTTAGTAAATATTTTAAATCATTTTTAAATGTTTACAAAAAATAATAAATATGCTATTAAATGTTTTAAAATTATTCCTTTTAGTAATATATTGTAAACTATTTTTAAATGAATTAAAAATCGCATGCTATATCTTTTTTATTAATATATTTATTTTTTAGTATATATATATATATATATATACACAATTATTGTTTTCTTTTTAAATGCTTAAATTAGTAAGTATACTGTTTTAAAATGTTGATTTTTTTAGTAAATATACAAAATGACTTCATTTTTTACGTTACACAAGATTGAACTCTATATTTATATTACATATAAGTCAGTTTAATATGTTTTAATAAGTCAAAATGGTTCTGATTTGATTATACTTACGACTGCAACTTAATTGTTTTAATTTAAGTAGATGGATTTTTTTACAGTGTACTTTCTAGCTCATAAATGGTTCTATTACAAACAGACATAGGAAGAATAAATGGCCGGAAAACAGTTTTATTACACGAATCCATCAGCAACAGCAGACTACTGTATTAGTTACTGATAAACACTGTGTGGTTTGATTCATAAAGGCCTAAATACAGTTTGGATGTCGGTGCAAAATACTGTATGAACACATATGAAGGCTTTCAATGCAAACTCAATCAGAATAAAGCAGCGTGACTTTATAAACAAGAACTCTTTTACTGAAATACAATACATATTTATATTATGTTACATCAGTTCAATGTCTATTTCTGCATCTGTGTGTTAAAGGAACATCTAATTGTAGCACTGGCTTTAATAACTATAATTGCTCGGAAACACTTGATCGTGGTTCTTCAGGTAATTGTTGCTAATGTCATGATGTTATTTCTTGACTTTTCCCCCCGTCGCCATGGAGACCGCATCACTGTAGCATGAAAGGCACGGTGTGAACTGAGTGTGTGTGTCTGTGTGTGTGTGTGTTATCTTGCACCTGATGACTCTCTGTCACTCATCTGATCTATGTGTTTGGTCTGTTCGTGCTGTCATGAGTATTATACGATAATAAGTGCATATATAACAATATTATTAATAATAATGATAATAATAATGCAATGAATTATAGGCCTATAGCCTAAATAAAATTGTTAACACTTCAGTCATCAATGAAACTTAACAGCAGCTTAATTTAAACACCTACTTTCAAAAACAACCTGTTCAACACGAAATACTTTTCTTCTCATTGTATTCATATGCTCGGGCCACAAGAGAAACAATAAGGAAATAAATTAAAACAATAAACCGCATATTAATTAGAAGATTCGTCCCTCGTCGTCTCTGAGAATGCGTTCGGCTTCTCCCAAAACAGCTTATACTACTGTTTCAGCTATTAAAATAGTTCAGTTTTGTATGTAATGGAAAGGTGATTGTATTTCGTTTCGTTTTTTTAATTAAGTTCATTTAGAAAAACGTTTGGAGCATTTGCTTGTTGGTTAAATGTAAGTTGTTGTTGTTTTTTTAAGTAACGACCAAGCGGCCAGCGGCAGACAGTGAGCTGATCATGGCCTATGTTTGATCAATTTAGCCTTCTCAAATCATCACGACTTGACTAAAATAAAATCTATAGATATAAAACAGTTCAAGCATATCACAATATTAGTTTAAAGGTTTAACCTAGATAAATGTGCACTGTTAGACGCCAGCGCAATCACTTGTATTTTTTTCTAAAAGTGGAAACAACTTAAAGTACACAGTCATTTTTACTCATAAAGGTAAGAGTAATACATCATTCGGAACTGTAAAGGGTCTACTTTAGGGATGCACCGATATGAAAATTTTGGCCGATACCGATAACAGAAAAAATGAGCCGATATGGGCCGATACCGATATGGTGGCCGATATATCGTGCATCCCTAGTCTACTTTTAATACAGTATCAACAAAACGTTGTGCTTTTGTAAAATAAATAGAAAAACCGAGGATGCGCTTTCTGCCGTCTCGGTCTTGAACAACAGCGCTTCACAATGATGAACCTATAAATAAAAAAAGGTTATTCGAATTTTGAGGAAAATTATCAATTTAATTCATTTTGGAATAAGGCTGTAACATAACAAAATGTGGAAAAAGTGAAGCGCTGTGAATACTTTCCAGATGCACTGTACAGTACAGATGTTATTGTAACTCGATATGCCATGGTACTGAATTTTTATCATAATATTTACATGCACATTGATAGGTGTGGAAAAACATACTAATATTACGATATAGTGCCCTAAATGTCAAAAACAGTACAAAAAGTAACAGAAAATACCAAAGTATTACCATGTAATAAAAATGTTATAGTATTACCTAGTTACATGTCTAAAAACATGCCATGTTTGTTAGTGGTGTATCTGCCTGTTTGTTCTGCATATATGTACAGTAGATTAATAATATTAGTACACTGGTGTTTCTCTTTTGAGAAGTTTCAGACCTACAGCCTTTCAGTAACCAGCCTGGTTAATTATGTTTAAAATATTAGTCATCTGTGTTTTTGTTAGGAAACATCTGCAATGTCATTTATATTTGACTGGATCTACAGAGGCTTCAGTGGAGTGCTGCAGTTTTTAGGTGAGTTCAGATGAAGGTCTCATGCATTTGACTGATTTATGAGATTTAATCACTCCAATATTATTCTAACATGGAAAATAGTCAGAAAAAAGAACAAGTAGATATGACGACCGTGAAAAGGTTTTTGCCCCTTCCTGTTTTTTAAATTTTTTGCATATTTGTCACACTTAAAAGATTCAGATCATCAAACTAATTTTAATATTACACAAAGATAATGCAAGTAAACACAAAATGCAGTTTTGAAATGATGATTTCATTTATTAAGGGAAAAAAGCTGTCCAAACCTGCCTGGCACTACGTGAAAAAGTAATTGCCCCCTAAATCTAGTAACTGGTTGTGCCCAGCTTTGCAGCAACAACTGCAATCAAGTGTTTGTGATAACTGGCAATGAGTCTTTCACATCGCTGTGGAGGAACTCTGGCCCACTCTTCTTTGCAGGATTGTTTTAATTCAGCCACATTGGAGGGTTTTCCAGCATGAATGGATGTTCAAGGTCATGCCACAGCATCTCAATCGGATTTAAGTCTGGACTTTGACTTGGCCGCTCCAAAACCTTAATTTAGTTTTTCTTG